CGGGAGCGCAGCGCTGGCTCTCCATAACCTCAACTCCTCAGTCAACTCCTTACAAAACCCGGTGCGAGACAGAATTTGTGCATACACTAAACCCACCAACGCGGCTTTGCTAAACTCCTCCATCGCAAGCCGTGCCCGTGTACTGACCCTTCGCCCGGTAACTCACTGGTGCAAACTCTCAGCTCCCATTTTGGCACGTGTCCGGACCAGGGCACAGGAGCAGAACACGAGGGGGAGTACACCCGCTTCTTCAGCACAGTGCTCGGCCGCACTTGCCAGCCCCGAGCGCTCCTGGGGCAAGTTCGGTCCCGTCACCGCGGCACAAGTGGAACCGGCAGAGAAGGGTTCACGGTTGGGGGAGACACGCCGGCCCATGGCCTGGTCCCGCTGTTCACACTTACCTTTACACAGCGAGGGTGGCTTCGGCCTCATCAGCTTTACGTCAGTGTTCATGTCGAAACTATAGACAATTTTAAATTTTTGTTAGGAAAGGCAATTAAATCAGTGACACTAAAAATAAGCTGTAGCAGATACCAAAGGCGCTCGTTTAAAAGCTGAGCTCGTTACCCTTAGAGTGAAAATATGACTGCTTTGAGGTTGCCCTAAGGATGAAACACTATTACAGCTGTGATGGTTCAACAATGTAGTCTGGCAAAACACTCAGGGAAAGGTAAGATCTTTTATTCACGAAATTTGAAGAAACCAACTAGTGTTTTTATGTACAGACTGTTCTTACAGAGGAAAATACTAAGTCAGACTACAAGAAAACTATTTCTCTCCCCTGAACACGCACAAATGCAATTAATAATTTATTAAATGCGGCAACACGCCAACAGCACAGTATTAAACACTTACGGGAAGAGTTGCTGGAGACTCATCTACCCCAGTAAGTAGCATTTGGTCTCAAATAACAGGAGACAGCTCTAGAGCTCTCTCAGGGTCTTCAGACTTACTCTGATTTTCTTAATATTATCCATGTTGGGACATTTAACCTCTTACCAGACCTGCTGATTCAAAGCAAAGGCCGAAATGGAAAACACACTGTTACTAAGACTTCAGATTTGTTCTCCTTAGCGACTCTTGTATCCATCAAGCTGTGAAGGGTTTCTGGCCAGCTACCAAAATTGCTAGAGCTCAGTGGCGTTGTCTTACCAGGATCGATCACTGGAACAACGAGAAGGAGCGTCTCGTTCTTATCACGGATTGGTCCCTCCTGGTCTGCAAATACAACTTCATCAGCCTGCAGTGCCAGCATGTCACGAGGATAGCCCTGAGCGCCGTTGATACCATCTCTGTAGGAGAGTTTGAGTTCCCACCCAAGTCTCTGAACAAGTAAGTTGACACCGTAATACTGTCGTGTTGTTGTAGTTCTTGTATTGTTATAATAGTTGGGGCTGTCAGCCTTCGTCGCTGACCATTGGACAAGTTTGAGGATTCCCCCTTTTGCTCTTGTGACTTTGTAAACAATTACCGGAACCTCATTAGACCCCACCTCAGAGCAGCTGCTGCTTTGCTGGAACAGTTAGGAGTTACCTTAAAAGGGAGTTGCTCGAGGACGTTCATGGTAAGATGAATAGATTTGGGAGCAGAAGTTCGTGGCCATTATGTAACGCGGTGGCAGCACCTTAGCCTTACTGGAACGCCACCTGTAACCATCAGGTCATACGTAAACGCAGACTGTCACTACAGTTGTGGCCGAGGTGGCTAATGAGCCTAACCTTTTTACACTCCGCTGAAAAGAACGTACCTTTGCCTTGTTCTGGGGCTGAATTCTTCTGTTACTGTTCTAGAGGAAAAACTTCCTGTCGAACTTATATTTCAGCTTCCAGTTTTAAGTAGGTCTTTTTCAGATGGTACATTTCTAATTAAACTCACCTCAAAGACTCGAAAGCCTTACCACGTTAAATCTGCTGTCTCCAATATCAGACGAGAAGGTTTTGGTATTCGAATTCAGTGGGACAAGCAAAGTCGTGCCTCCTTCATAAACAGATGGAACCCGTGGTCCACAAACATCCCATACGTCACCTTCACCGAACACCCCATGGCAGATGCTGATGAGAAGATCGCGTCCCTCTGCCTGGTAAGGAAGTCGCCTCTCCTATTCTAGATGCCGTGTTGATCTCATAGGCTGGATACCACTTAGATTATTTCAAAAAGATACAGCAGTTAAGTCAAATCGAAGCAGTTAGATCAAAGAGACAGAACTTGGAGCGGCAAGCTGCGTTTCCCCATTCTCCAAACGCTGAGTCGCAGGGCGGCCCAACGGGCCGGTTTGGGCAGCTCCCCATGACGGGTTTATGGGAGAAGGAAGCTGAAACTTCCAAAAGCGCAGAGTCCTGTAAAACCCAAACGAAAATGGATCTCGGTGCTACTCCTGCTCTTGCTTACCTGCCTTTTCATCCAGGCCTGCCAGCTGGTTAAACAAACCGGTTAATTGCTCACTGTAAACCTTCGCGTGGGTGGCGCTCAGTTTTTCTTGCAATAGTTGCTTTCCTCTGAAAGGTTCCTTCAAAATAGAACACTGCATTAATTTAAGTTCAACACACCAATGGTACGGGCAGGAGAACTACAGTCAGAAATAAAAAGCATTAGTGATTTTAAGTCTTTACGCGCGGAGCCCACGTGTCCTGGTATGAACTACCTGTACCATTAAGGTTCAGTGTCAGAGTGGGAAGTTTCTCACAGCACAGGAGATCCCCAACTACAGCTGCACTGTTAGTCCTTCACTATTCAGCAGCAGCAGCTCTTAACCTGACAACTTTTAAAACAATGGAAAAACATCAAGGTTGGTGGTTTTTTTTTTTTTCTTTCAGTTGGAAAACTTTAAAACTCAGCTAATTCAAGCTGTGAAGAAAGCCCACAAGGAGTGTCCGTTGCCAGGAAGGGCTAACGGCGTGCTGGTGCTGGAGCGTCCTCTCCTGATCGAGACCTACCTGGGACTGATGTCCTTCATCAACAACGAGGCCAAGCTTGGCTACTCCATGACAAGAGGCAAAATCGGATTTTAAATTTTGTTGCATTTAACCTTTTCAAGAGAAAGCGATTTGCTGGGGGTCTCCCGGGGAGGGCGCACTGCGTGGCGGAATGCCCGGTAATGGCAGTGGAGCAGTGAGGGGAAGGAAGCGGGGCTGCAGATCTAACAGTTCACGGGAGGCCCTGGTCGTTACGGTCAGGTCAGATTAATCCGAAGCAGAGGCAAGGTAGTGTCATTCTTGCATTTTGTATCTAATTTACAGTTCCTACTGGTTCTACAGGGCTAGCGAGCAGCGGTATGTGCCATTTCTAACTGTGTTCTTCCCTGTTAATTAAGTGCGATTGGTGTCTGCTACGAACACTCCGCGCAAATATCCAAGATAGAGTAGAACGTTCATGTCGCATTACAGTTGTATATGGTGTCAAATCACGTAGTGTGCTTGGGATTGATTTGTATTGTTCAAAGAAGTGCTAGTGTTCACAATTACAGTAATCTTCGCGTTTTGATTGATGCCCGTTAAGAATTTTGAAAGCCACGTCAGTCATTCTTTAGCAAAACAGAGTCAGCAGATTTTACGTCTGCTCAGAAGCGGTGTACGGCAACTATTACTCTATAAAGCGAAGTATATGGCTGAATGTGTGTTTGTTAGCTTTTTGTAAAAATACCTCCCCCCAAGAACGGAGCCCAACTTCCTCATTTGTTACGTGTGTTTTCGTGCTGCAGCCATAGAATAAAGACTCTTTTGAGAGAATATTGCCAAAAGCCTCACAAACACATTTGCCTTCCAAACTGTTATTTATAAAACTGAAAAGGAATTCTATTTTGATTAGATTTATATTCTTAGCAATTTTTCTTAAATCTACTCTAATTGGGGGCCGCAGCAGTGCAGGACTTTGTAATAGAGACAGATAAGACTTTAAGCACTGTACATCAATCTTGATTCATACGTTCTTGCAGTTAACCTCATACAAATGTCAAGTAACGAAATTCAGAAGCAGCGTAAGAGACTGCAACTGGAGTTGCTCAGGAGGCTGCTCTAACGAGCTTTTTCATGGTGTCTGACCTTCTATACAGGCCATTTTATCAGAACAATGCTGAATAAATGCTGTGCTGCAGTGGTGTTTTTTTGAACTTAAAGTAGATGTGTGTTTATGAAACATGTAAAACTGAAGTGGTGATGGAATGCAACAAGTTGCATGCCCCTCAGTGCATTTTCTAAGATATCTATTTAATTTTCATTAATCTTAACAGTAAAGTTAAATTTCAACTCCGTTTGTTCTTCATTCTTCATTTTGTGGAGACTGAGGCTGTGAAATTAAGTGGCAAAAGTAAAAAAGAGCCAATAAATTCCTAAACAACGGGCTCCCTTCCTTGGGAGAAAACAGTGGCTGGCTGCTCAGGTTAAGGATAAAGTATTGCCCAACTGCTCTTCCCTGCTGAGCCGTCCACTCCGATGTGGCACCAGATAGTTGGGTCAACAGCGCCCGTTTCAGTTGCCTGTAATGTATCATTCCAAAGTCTCAGTTAACGATCCTTCTTGTAGAGATTCAGTATGATAAGGAGATACGGGAGACCAGGCACGGTCACTGTCACCTGTTAACATTTTAGTCTGGAAAAGCAAAATTATTACAGGTGACTTAATTTGATTTCTGAACAAAGAACTTGTTTTGCTTTAGCAGTAATTGATTTGCTGGGAAGTGTCTTATTGATTTATCTACTTCTGCTACACTACTTAATTCTAATACACCGGGAAAGTCTGTTGTCTTACAAGAGCAGATATAAGCTGTACACTGGTGTGTGCAAATAACTGTTTCCTTGCGCTGGGATAAAGAGCCACAGAATCACAGAAACAGACTTCAGAATGGAGAAATGCAGGTTTATAGTTAGAGTCATACCAAGTTTGTAAGTTATCAAAATATTTATTGGAAATTATAAAATTTAAATAATAGCTATACATTATATACACACAGCTACAATTTTAGAAAATAAGGTTTCATCGTTGACAAAAGTTCAAGAGAAAGCTGAGCTACATCAATACTGAAGTTTCCTCAAAATCGAGACTTCATTCTCTACGCTTTAGTTGCTACGTCACTTCAATCAAACACAACCACAGTACTTTACACATTGGAGTTTGGGTACGCTCCTTCAAATAAATAATTTATAAATACAAAACCTTCAGCCTGGGCAACAGGGTTTGACCCCATTCCTCATTCTTCCTCAAACTTGCGAGCATTTTTAATGCAAGTGATTGTTATTTTACCTCTTCTCTTTCTAAGTAACACACACAGAAGTTGTCCTTACTCAGAAGCGCCATGGAGTCTCCGCTAGAACGCCAGGAGAGAGAGACGATCTGGAAGTCACCTGCAGAAACAGATCAGAGTTTGTCAGCAAGAAGCTGACAGTCCGTCCTCTTACTTTGGGAAGAGGGAGCTGGAACAAGTCACACACACTGCAAAAAATACCCTCCCTACCCCGGAAGCCTTAACAAGGTGTTGAGTTTTGTTCCTGCTGCAGCAGAGCCAAGCTGTTCTCTGACGCAGCGGTGCAGATAAGCTGTGGTACTGACTCTGTCCCCAAACCTACAGTTAATTTGCGCTCCATACACAAGCACAGATTTTGTAGGCTCATCATTTTAATGCAAATAGATGCCACGAGATTGTTCCCCGTGCAGAGCTGTATGCCCTGGTGATATTGCCACTCCTTGTGTAGAAAGGAAAAAGCTGAATCTTTGCAATTTCTTTTCTGTTTAATATTCAGAAAGGCTTTTATGTGATCTACCTAATGGCCTTGTATCATTCACTGCCAGCCATAGAACTTCTCATCGCGCAGGCTGACTTACTCAGGTTCACAACTATTCTTCTCTCTTTCCACATCAGGTTCAGCACGCGCGTTTTTCTGCATTACTGTTTTGTTGTAGTTTAGCTGTTGTCCGAATACCCGAAAATATTATAGGTGT